GTTAGATGCTCTGTTTATTTATAGACGGAGGATTATTGTATTATGCATAATTTGGCACGAAACTAGTTAACTGACGGAAATCGGACATCAAACAGTGATTGGGTTTCGATGTCGGAGGCCATAAAGATCTTAAAAATGGAATGACTAAGCGAGATATACAAATCTTGGCTTTATTTTTGGAGAACGTAAGTTTTTTTTATGATTACTGCTTGTTCAATTTACTGTTATTTATTGCACCAATAAGGTTTCCATTGTAACATTTTATTTGCATAACTTTTACTTTCCCTTGGTCTTCATTAATTGGGTCAGATTTTAATCAGGCCAAATCATTCAGAACTTGTTCTGAGTTGTAAAGTTATTGGTATTAGACAAGTTAAACTTTTTGTCCGAAAGCTTGGTGATTAAAATCCATCGAATGGTTTGACAGCGTCCCCTGAAATGCCTGAATTTCAAATATCGCACAGCATTCAGATTTCAATTCATGATTCCCCAAGGGACCTAATTAGACATAACACCAAACTGCAGCATGAATATATTATTCATTTATTCCGTTTGCCACAGTCGAAATAATACGTCTTCTGTCACATGCGCTGCATCAATATAAATCATCTTTGACTGTCCATGAGCTGACAACAAATCTCTTAATGTATACAAATCATATTTTCCAATTCTGGCGGAGCTGCCCTTTTCTCCACCCAAAAATAACCCATTTCCCTCGATCCCAGCGGCATCGCCCAATTCACGTAGCAAATCACTTTACAACTGTCAGACAAACAATGCCAAAAACTGATGGCCAAGAGAGGATTCAGCTGAAAGTGTGGCCAAAATGGTCGAAGGGCATCGAAGGGGCGCGGCGGTCGAAAGATATCCTTCACCGGATCCTGTTCAGGCATTTGACTTTATCACGCAAATTGATTGCTTTGACCCGAAACGATTGACGAAATTTGATTGATAACTTATTAACTCGCCCATTGTCTCGATGTGGGTGTGTCTGTGTGTGTGTGTGTGAGAGCTGAGGGCGTGGCACGCCCCTATTGAATTTTTGCATGCTGGCAAAAGTTTTGTGTGCTTCTTGCTCTTTTTTGAGTCACGCATGGGTGAATGGCTAATAAAGATAAATATACAAGATGCCAGATGGAAGACTTCCCCTCCCTCCGCCTTTCACTTTATCTGCACTTGCCCAGCAGCAGGTTTTTCGGGCTGAAAAAATAACAAAAACACAGATTCAAATCCACGAATATATCACTTTTGTGGTGGCTCATATAAAAAATATAAAAAAAAAACATTCAAGTTGGCTCGTTGAAATATTTTTTCAAAAACCGCCCAAAGGCCAGACAAAACACCAGAGATGAGGGGCCCGTGGCCAAAGAAATTATTGGCCGGACCTGAACGGCCGAGAAAAAAAAAAGAAAAGAAAAATAAACATCAGCATCAACAACAAAAAATGCTAATTCAAAACAAGCAGATTTTGCGGTTTATGCAAATGTCCCTCAGACCAGAAAAATACCCAAACAAGTCATAACAGCAGAGCAACAGCCACAAAGATGCCACTCGTTTGTGTATCTTTGTGTTCAAAATGTGAAAATAAATAAAGATTTAATGTGCACTTCGTAGAAGTTCAGGCGACTAAAAGTAAATTACAGAGTACTCTGGAAGGCAGTTAAATTCGTACAAATGGGAATGCCGGCTTGACAGAAAGAGGCTTAAAACTTAAAATATAATAATTGGGAACAGAAATACAATCGCTTTTGGGGCCTGCATTTAATTATGAATAAAATAAACATGCTCGTAATAAATCATAAAACAAATCCTTTGCTCAGATAAGAGTATGTATAAAAATATATATATATATATTGGCAAGGAAACTAAGCAAATGTTTTCAGGAAAAAGAAGGAAAACTCATATAAAATGTTTGTGTGCCTATTTGTTGCTCAGCTGCGTCAAACTGTGCAGTTCAAGGCTATTTCTACTTTGCCCAAAGTCATTTTACTTTGGGGCCAGAAAAAAGTTGAAAATAGCAGCCGAGATAATGCCGGAATGCCTTTCTTTTCGAGTAAGAGTTCTACGTCTGCTTTTTTGGTCCTCTTATGTTTATTTAACACACTCGCACATACACGAACGTAAAAGCCAAAATGAGTTTGGCCCAAGAGCAATAATTCATTTTGACTTCCATTCTCGACTGACTCTGATGGAAAACCTTTCTCCTCGTTCTACCGCCTCCAAATTGAATTCCAACTTAAACATCATTTGGCTATTTTGAAATGGAAACGATTTCGCATATGGGAGAGTGCTTGTGTTTGCTTATGTAAGCTGCCCTGCAGAGCTGCGATATTGATTACATTTTTTGCCAGGCAATTTTAAATTTCTGTTCATTAGATTGGCTAGATTTATTTATAGATTTTTGCTTTTATCCATTTTTTGCTGGATTTCTTTTAGCACTTATTGTGTGAAACTCGCTTGGCATTTATGTAAATAGTATTTGTTGGCTGTATATGTTAGATGTGTTCTGGATGATAAGAGTATTTAAAACCAGGTTAAGCTAAAAAGCTTGAATGACACATTTGAGATCGTAATATAACATCAGTATTAATGGAAATTAAAAATAAAATTAATTTCTTTTTGGTTGCTTTCAATATTCAATGTTAAATGTAAAAGCAAATAAAACGGACACGTTTATCTCCTCCCTCGAAAAATATGTTATTTACACTCTTGTGACCGATTTAATGCCAACTTCTCCATTACAAATATTTGTCATTTTTTGGTTTGGTGGACCACAAAACATTTCGCCCAAATTATTTGTCTTTCATTTTTTATTTGTTTATCACCATTTAGTTACAAAAGAACTTTTCTATCGAATTTTGTGTAGTAATGTCGGAATTTTGTTGCAAAACTTTTCTTCCTGCTAGCTTTTTTTTTGTTTGCACAAAACCACAGAATGGAAATGCGGATAAGTATTTCCCAGTCTATTCAGCTCCCCCAGCAATATATAATTTAAAAATAGAATTAATGTTGTTTGCCTTATTGATATTGCAATCCAAAAAGTTATCATTATCCACTTTTTATACTAAACACAGCATTTTCTTGATTTTCTTTTTAGGTAAGGCTACTAAGTTGAGTTATTGAAGCTTGGGAATCCGCAGAGAGATATAAGAGTGCCGCAATCGAAGTTGGTTATGGGGTAAGTGAGACGTGGAAATTGGCTCAACAATTTGGCTCAAGCTCAACACTTTCCTCGACCCTCCCCCGCATTTTCCGCCCACTCCGAATGTGACCTTCAAAGAGAGACAACAATGGCGGGCTTCTTCCCATGTGTTATTTTTTTCCGGCGCAGTGTCTGTCTATCTTCTTTTTTTTGGGTCATTTCCGCGATTTGGGTTTTGGCTTTTGCTTTCCACGATGTCAAGATCGAGAGACTTCCGTCTTAGCCTTGCACTCAGACCCCAATCCAAAGTGTTTACTGTTTACACTCGTTTTCGTTTAAATTTGCATTTAAATTTATTTGCCCGGAGTCTTTGTTTTTCTCTCTGTTGGCTTTTCTTCCCTTTCTCGATTTCAGCGGTGTTCATTGCACAATTTATGAAGTTTCGATGCACAAGAAAGTTTTTTACATTTATAGTGAAAAAACTTGAAATAAAATATCGATTAAATATTTCACAAAAAACTTGTAAAAAATCATAAACTCTTTAATGTTTTTTACAAAAATTTTAAGATTTGATATCATATTTATAAACTCTTCTTTTTAGTGCAGTGCTGCAGTTATGCATTGTTTTTTTCAATCGTTGCCATTTGCCAACTTAGTCCATTTCTGTTTACCTTTTTGTATTTTTTTTTTGCCTTCCGGCTTCGCCAGTTTTCCTTGCAATTTATACACTGACCTGTTTCCATGAAAATTCGCTGCGTTTGTCTCTCTTGCACATTCTGCCCACATTGCTGGCTCTAATTAATTTGAGCGCTTACTTACCTGGCTTTAATGGCGAGCACTTGTTTTTACCATTTAGGGAAACTCAAAACATCAAATGAAAGTTGTCTATTCAGTTCTTAAAAGGTTTGCTTACGCTTACTACTTTTTATATGTTTACATATATTTCCTTGCAGCAAAATGCATTAAATTTTGTTGTTTAAATCAATTTAATGATGTTGAAATATTCTCAATGCAATTATTCATGTTCAAAATGTAAATGCATCTGACTAATATGCTGAATAATTTACAATTTATGCTGAAGGAAGTCCGCCCTTGTAGTTAACATTTGAATAAAGGGTAGATGACATTTTTGCAACATTTGTGGTGGCCTGTTTTTACACTGCTGCCTTCGAAAGAAATTTATGGTGTTTATTCCTGTCATGTTTTGCTTGTTTCAATTTATGGCAAATTTATGCATTTAATCGTTAGCCCATTAAAAGGCCCTGACAGTCAGTCCACTCGAGCCCTTCATTTTTAGCCCAGAATCGGGAGCAGGAATAAGCCCACTCTAGACCGGGACAATAAAAAATGTTTATCAATCGCTGCCACAAGCACGCCGCGAATGCTGCAATGCGAGGCCAAATTTAAATGAGCCGCAAAGCGAAAATAAATGTTTTAAAATATTCTTCCGTTCAAATGCAGTGGCTGTAGGTAACTGCGTCAATTAAAATCGCCCAGTAAAAAGTGCAATCAATAATAATTTCAAAGTGTCGCACACAGCCATGGAAACTTGAAAATAAATGCTCTTGGCCAAAAAGTCCATTAACATAAATCGCTTACAGTCAACATATTTTATTTAGTTCTCTTATGGAATTATACGGTGATGCAATGAATATTAAAGTGTAGTGTTCTTGTGTGTTCCGAGATTAAATAGGTTATGGGATCTACAGCAAGGGAATCTGTGCATATTAATTGTTTTTCCCGGCGAGCTTTTGAGGTCAATATTTTGAGTAAGAACTTTGTAAGCTGTTTTTGGCAGGACTACTTATACCACCAATAAGGCCAATTAATTCAGTTTTTGATGCAAACAATATCGCTGTTTAAGACACCGCAATCTTTTTAATTTTGTCCAGTTACAATAGTCAACAATGTTAAAATTACTGTGTAGTTTTTAAATATATTTGTATATGTCCGGTTCTATGTCCATCCAGTGTTTTTCTTGGACAGAACCACCTTCTGCATGTGCTCATCTGCGGTGTGGATGGTGTGGCTTCCACCGGCATGCCTTGGGGTGCACTTGACCATGGGAACTCCGGCTCCTTTGGTCCAGGCACTTGTCGAGTGCGGGAACTCGTCCTTCCGGTAGTAGCCCATAATGCCCGACTTGCGGATCTGTCCCAGTTCATAGGTGACAATGGGACCCAGGCCAGTGGAACCCTTGGCATTCGGCAGCGAGGGCACCTTTGATCGCTCCATGGTTCTCATTACACAAGTGGTGTCACAGGCCAAACAGGCAAGATCCTGCATGACCTTTACCCTTCCCGCGGCTGCTGCACAATCATCATTGGTCATCTCCATGTACTTCTGCAGTGCCTCGGCAATCAACTGCACCCGCCTCTCAATCACATCCCGGAAGTCCTTCAAGCTCAACTCCAAGGCATCTACGCCCAAAGTCATTCGCAGATTATCGATGATCTGCAGGACGTTCTTCTCATTCAAACTGATAATATGTCGCACCTCGCAGAACATCTTCTCCAATCTGGCCTTGTACTCCTCGAGTTGTTCCAGCGACACTTTGGTGGCCAGTTGCTGGAAGTCCACTTTCTCGGCCAGAAGAAGTTCAACCTCCGTCTTGTCGATCTTGACCTCGTCCAAGTGGGAAACGGATTTCTTGAGGGTCTGTATATTATTCACGCAATCATTGAGGCGAATCTGCATGGAGTTAGTGGCCTCCCTGTTGCTAGCCATATAGAGCTTTATATCCCTCACGGTTTCCGATAGGTCCTTCATCATATCCATCAACCTCTGGGAGTCCTGTTTCAGAAGGGCAGCAGCCAATTCATTGACCTTGTTGGTCAGGGCGCAAAACTGCGACTTCAAATCGAGCAGTTCATTCAACATTTTCTCTGGGGAATAGCAAAGCGGTTGCTCCAAATCCAAGTCCTCTTCTTCCTCCGGCTTCTCCACTTCCGTGGGAGCAGAGGATTCAATGGAGACTTCCTCCTCCATGAGACCCTCCTCCTCCTCCGCGCCCACAATTTCACCACTTGACCAACTGATCGAGACCTCACTGCCAGTGGTGGTTCCCATCAAAACCCTCAATTGCTTGGCTATGTGGCGGAGTATCTTAATCCTCTGCGGATTGGGTTTCTTATCGATCAGCAGGTGGGTCACATTGTTCACCTGCTCCATGGTGATCTTCAGTTGACCAGTTAGATTGGTCACAAACGATTGCATTTCCATGGCAGCCTGCTCCTTTTGCAGTTCCATTTTCGAGAGACGTCTTTCCAGTCGCGTGAGGTTGTTGCTCAACGAACCATCGAGTCGAGTGTTCGATTTATCCCGAGTGGACGACCTTGAGGATACTCGTGAGGCCTGGGGAACCAGCTCATCTGCCTTGGTATCCGGGTCCACTTGGACTTTCGGGGACTCAGCCAAGCCCTCCGCCGCCACCCCTTCCTCGGAGCCCGGAGTTCGAGCCGGAGTCGGTTCGTGGGCGGAGGCCACTGGTTCCGGAGTGCCCCCGGCAGCCGGTTCCGCTGGAGCGGGTTCCTCAGGAGCTGGTTCCGCAGGGGCGGGTTCTGCCGGAGCGGGTTCTGCTGGAGCTGGTTCCGCTGCAGCTGGTTCCTCGGCGGCAGGCTCTTCTGCAGGGGGGAGGCGGTGGAGCAGCTTCCTCTTCGGCTGGTGGGGGAGCAGGTGCCTCCTCCGCGGCAGGCTCCTCATTTGCGGGCTCAGCTGCCTCTTCAGCATCCGCACCAGCAAATAGACGAATCTTGGATGTATTAGCCACGGTCACTAAAAGTAGGTTAACCAAAAATTCAGAAATGAATTTTCATTTTTAATGTGATGAAATAACGTAAGCAATTCAAGGGAAATCATAATAATAATTCAAATGCTAAACAAGCTCTGGAACATTATACATATATCCTTTTTTTTTGTTTGTTCTTAAATAAAAAGCTAAAATAGTTAGCCAATAGAAATCTGTAACCCACTTGAAAAGTACTTTGAAATGCGTTTCCCTAGATCTCTATAATGCAAGATTATCACTCCACTACTCACATAAGCTGCTTTGCATGCGCACATTGGCCACCATGTAGTCCTCCTGCTCGACGACCTCGTCCAGGACCTCCAACCGTTGGGCAAAGCACGTGAGCAGGACATGCAGAGCGTAGAAGTTAACGTGTCCCGATTCCGGAGAGCCAATGGCCACGTCTATTAGTTCCTTGTATGTGAAAGTCATTTTGCGTAAAAAAGCTCAAATTTAGGGGCAGTTTCCCGAACTATTTGATGAATTTTTTGCCTTTCGAGATTGGACCAATACCGAAATTATTCTAGACAAACAAAATGTGAACTGAACCGAACAACCTTGTGTGGTGAAATAAAAAAGTATTAAAGAGTTGATGGAAAATTCGGAGACTTGACTTTCAAAATTAGTGAGAGTTTTCTGGGAAAGGCTACTGATTACTTAGTTAAAGATAAGTGACAAAAATGTTAAACTGTTCTAACAATATTGTAAAATTTTTAACAGTGAAAATTTCACGACTTTCTTTCCCATTCCGAATCCATTAGGCTAAATGTTATGGCTGACATTAAGGTTAACCAAAATTACGAAAATAATGTTATTAATTATGGTAGCTCAAATTGGGTTACTCAATCTCTTTTATACTCCGTGGAAACGATTAAAATTATGCATTAATAGGTCGGTGTGGGTAAATACAAAATGCGTTTTCCTCAAGCTCCGTTTTTGACTGCAAAAATGCTTCACAGCTATTAGGGTTTAATTAATTTTTACACCATTCTGTGTTTAATATTTGTTTCCCTGGCAGTTATTATGATTGCGTCCGTTTAATGAACATCATCAACACGGTTAAGTTTAATTTTATGAAGCAGCTTCTGCTGTTTTGGTGTGCTTGTTTTTATATTTTTGATAACCAAACGAGATGCAAAACAATTATGGGTTTAAGAGAAGATGATGCAATTAAAACCGAGAAGTGGGAAAGCTTTCGACAATAACAACCTCAAGTTCGATTTGACCAAAAATAATGTTTCAATTAGTTTCAATCGCTTCGATTTAAAGACCGGGTTTATGGCAAATTCGATTAGCTTTTCAGTTTGCTTTTTCGGGATTTAGAATCCTATTTGTCAATCCAGCAACGCAATCCATTCGACTTTTCCGATGTGTCGGGCAGCTTTCCGATGGAGTGCAGTCAATGTTTGTGGCCTCGTAAAATCTAATTTAAATGCAAACGCAAATGTCAAAAAATGTAGAATTAAAAATCACATTCGGCTTGATTCGGGCAGACAGCGACATATTTCAGCATTCAGTCCAACTATTTCTCATAGGGATTGGGAGTAGTAGCTAGCGATAGACAGGGCGAATACGCAACATATTTTCACCAAACTGTCACATCGCGTATACGCAATCAGTCGACAGTCAGTCAACAGAATGCCGCATATTGGTAAAATTTCACACGAATAGTGAAGTCGAAAAAAAGGGAAGCCAAGGAGAGAAATCAGAAAAAGTTCTATGGAGGAAGTATCCAATTGAGAACTTAAGGTGATACTTAAACAAATATCAAAGGGCTTAGTAACAATTCTTTTTATTTTATAATTAAACAATTTAAACAATATTTATATTGTATAATATTTTAATATTATATTGTGATCCCTTTTTTTATATACCCATCAGCCAACAGGGTATTATAAAAAATAACGAAAATCCGTGGTTATCTGCGAGATGCGTTTGAAAGGTTTTTACATCAAATGTCACTATGTTGATTGAACTGCCTGAAAGCTGTGCACTCCCGTACACACACCCACTTCCATATTTACACATTTACCCATTTGTGTGGCCATCAAAAATAACAAATTTTTTACCAATGGCAAGCTTAATTTCATCAATATCAAATGCCGAACGACCAAAAAAAGTCTTAACAAAGTATTGAAAAATATTAAAAAGTGGTGGGTTTTTGCTGTCGTCAGATTATGAGCTTCATGATGTCGAACAACCGGTTTAAAGTTGAGAAGTTATAAATAAAATTGCTGGCGAATAGCTCGTGGCTACTGCAAATATTTCATTACAAATTGAAATTCGTAAAGTTTCATTTATATGCCATGCGGTTCGTCTGTTTAAGCTATATCCTTAATTTATGCGCAGACATTGAGCGACGGAGAGGCAGCCAAAAATTGCAGCCCAGGTCGCAAAAAGAGTTGACAAAAAGTCCAGGCAGACACAGACACACATACACACGTATATACACACACATACATATCAGCAGGAAACGGAAACGGAAATATGCGCAATTTCTCAACAAGACAATGTCTGCAGCTAAAACAAAAAGAGAGTAAAGGCGGCAGGGCAGGAACTTCTCCTTGTCATTTTCATTTCTTCGACTTTCCCCGAGAAACTGCTAAAGTTTTCCTCACTGTTTGAGTTTGCCTCAAATGTTTCTTTGTCTAGAGCACAATTTTTAATATCAAACAGGATTTGCCGAATGGTAAGTAAGTCATAGAGAAACTTTGTATAATTATGCAAGTGTCTGATAAAGCTGCTGGAAGTGTGTGCCAACAATTTATGCATAATTAAAACTTGATTATGCGGTTTTCGTGCCTGGACTGCGTTCGGGTGTTCCTTAATACTTTTTTAACTCTCTTGTTTATCCTGACTGGTGCTTAAATTTTTGTGGCTTCATAAAGAATTTAATTTGAGCAACCAACACATTTGTTTTGGCTTGTCACTATATTAAATCAAATCAAACTTCAATTGCATTGCTGGAAAAGTCTTTTTGCGAATCACGCTCAATTGTTTGCCCTTCCACTTGAACAAATTAATTTAATTTGTCAATGGCACTTGGTAAGGGCTCATGCATTTATGCTTTTGTCAGCTAAGAGCAATTTTGCCATTCCAGCATTCGTGCCATAAATAAATCGAACACCATATCTTGTCAATTATTGTGCAGCAATGACTTCGGCAGCAACGAGATGAACAATTAGAGATGATTTGCTTGCATTTGCATTTGCATTTAGCACTCGGGTCAAATGCACAATGGAGTTGAAAAGAAGTTAATTCCAGAGCTGGCTTTGTGTATTTTTCTCTTTCGTTCGTTACAATGGGTCGTAAAGCCAAGTCAAACGATGACTTTCTGCAAACAGCAAGTAGCCGAAAGCAGCTCCAACTTGGCTGGAATCTCAGCTGGTGGCGAACAATGGCCGGCGATAAATGGCAAAGTCGCAATAACATTAACCGTTAGCCAGGCCCTCCCCCTTTTTCCCGCCCCATTCGGCTTCCTCTATTTCTTCTTCTTCTTCATCATCGGGCCAAAAATGCGCCAGTTGACCCAATTCGTATGGAAGCGCGTTCCCAGCCAACTCAACTCTTTCAAACGGATCGGATTCAATCGCAGTGGCAGCAACAACAGCGTTTCCATTTTGTCTCTGCTCCCATATTTGGGGCAGAAACACACACAGAATGATGGGGAGACAGTATACTGAAAAAAAATATTAAATTTATAAAAAAAAACAGAAAAGCATTTTCACCTATTTAATAGATTTCAAGAGCCTTAAAGCAGTAACAATATCAAAATTACTTCTTATTTATTTATTTATACTTTCAGAAAATTCTGTTCAATTAATATGGGTTTTTTCTCTGTGTACTCTTGTGTGTTTTAAGCAGTCCATGCTGGCACTTATTCCACATTGTCTTCTCCCCCCTTTCCCCATCCACTGTTTGTGCGGCAAGCCGCTGACGTAATTTACTTGAACATCGCCAAATGCATTTCCTATTAGAGATGGCCAAGTGCCTCTGTTAAAGTCGCAGTAAGGTGCGTTACGCAAAAACTTAAATGGCCAAAACCAAAAATGGGTCAGTGATGGAACGAGTTATGATGAGGTGTTTGCTGGAAGTGGGACAGCGAACTATTATAACCTCTGATTGATGGTTTTATTTGGGCTTGATTTACTCTTGTGTACTTTTTTCTTTGATTTGCTATTATTAGTTTTTTTTTAATTTATAAATCTTATTGGTAATAAATCGACATAGACTCACATCGCTGTTCAGAGCCGCGAAATCCTAGTCGGTAGCCGAAAATCCGACCGCAGTTAACTTGGCGCAAATGTTTGCGAGGGCAAGTGTTCCTCGGGCCAACAGTGCGTATGTGTGCTTTTCCAGTAAGCACATATCTAACCGAGTCTTATTTGTTCCCTGCGGTCGTTATCGTCAGCCCTGCACTTCCAATTCCACTCACCAGCGGCAACTTTTTGATTGAATTCTAGAGGCCAGTAATTTGCACTTTAGCTTCTGCTTTCGGCTTGCCAATTTAATTAGCCATTAAAAATGAAGAAGCCGCGTCGAAGCGGCAGGAAAATCAACGGACACGCGCCGCACACTTCCATAAATATCTTGTCTGTTCCGCTGGCACACATTTACAATATTTTTTATCATTAAAAAAATGCCCGTCTTCGCGGGTAATTTATATTTATGCCACATCGGTCGGATGGTAGCGAAATTTACGCAGATTTCTTTGTGCCTCTGCTCGACACTTAAATTTATTTATGCTGATATGTGAGATTCGCTTCATCATCATTTCTCCCCTCGCTTCGCCCCAAGAATCTGCCACTTAACACCTTTCTGGCAGCATCTGCCGCCACACCCAAGCCATGTTAATAAATGTCTGCCCCTCAGCCGTTGGATCCCTGGTCCCCCACCCAACTTCTTGCCACTTTCATGGCAACCTCCTGACAGATGAGTTGATCTGCGTGGCCTTAACTTCGTCCTCATCTCGGTGGCTCGTCCTCCTGGCAAGCAGGCGAAACTGTGGCGATATTACCAACTTTAAAAGCTTTAAGCTGGGCGAACAATTTCCATCCGAATTTCAAATATTTGCTTCGGGCGGAAGCGGGGGTGAAAAAAAAAAACAAACAAACAAACAAACAGGCGAACAAGGTTTACAAGACTCATATCAATAATCCCATTTTGGCAGATTTTCTGGTTTTCACTTGAGTAACTGAGAAAATCGGTTCAACACGAGAAAAGTAATATCTCACAGCAGTCAAACCAAATTAAATTTGTTTTGCACTTCTGCCGGTTTGACAGGAAAAAAAATTGATTTCTCTCCGATTGAGGCTTGAATTATTAAACATAAAAAACAATTAAGAAACAATAAAAAGGATTTATTTTGTATCAAAAAATCTACTTTTAAGCAACGAAACGAGTAGTCTAATCATTAGTTATTAGCATTTTAGTTAAGGTAAGTAAGTTACTTAAGCGGATGTTGCTTCAAATATATGACTAACCAATAAACATTTTTTAAATGGCCAAACCCTGTTTAGCATATTTCCATACAAAGAGATGATTTCATCCGAGCCACAAAAAATTGACGAAAACAAAAAACGATGAAGGCGTCCATCAGCAGCCCCCACAAAAATTCATTATTCAGCATACATCATTATCCATCGAAGGGGGCTAATTGCTGGCAAACAATTGGCGTCTTCAATTACAATTATTTACCATCACTTTGCAGAGTGCCAAGTGGCAAGAGTCTGGGGAGGAATGGCTGAGCTCGAGGGCAGGTGATATATACTCGAATCTGCCTACGAGCATTCATAATTTAAACTCATCTCCTTACTTATGCATACAACAACGGAAAATTTGTAATAAGCCGCTTAAGACGCGTGCTCCCCCAGATTGCAGTCACAAATATACGAATTTACATACAATATATATATATATATATCTTCAATGTAGGGGAAAAAGGGAGCTGCAGTTGACAGGGAAATATGAAAGAAGACATGGAGTAATCCCACCTGCCTTCACCTGAATTTGTCGCCACTCCGCTCGTTGTTATTGCCCCTGATGCTCCGCCACGATTTAAGCTTAATTTTCCATTTAATGGGAGATTTTCAAGCATGTGCGACTGGGGTTTATAAGAAGCGATGCTCAGATTTGGAGAATATAATATATTGATGAATAGAATTAAATTTACCCATAAATATTCAACCTTATTCTTCAAGTGTATTAAAGGATTACTTATTAAGAGTAATATGTACTTATATTAACATGCAATTTAATGGGCAATACATATAACATAAAAGAAAGAACTCATTTAAAAGAAATTTTATATAATTTATTATCTTTTTAAAAAAATTAAAGAGCATAGAAAACTTTGATACTTGTTGACGTCTCCTCAATTTTTCACTTGCGCCATCATCGCGATTTTCTTTTTATTGCTTACTTTTAATTATTGAGTTGTGAAACTTATAATCCGCCGCAGTTCAGTTGAGTTTTTTCAGCTCGCCTCTGCACTGAATATGCAAATTTGTGCAGCTTAGTGGCGATGCTGGATGGTCTGGGCTTACTTTGCCGGCCCTCCACGGATATCTCTCTATGCCCTATTATTATTTAAGGTCTCTGGCACTTGGCGAGGCTTTTGCATATTTTATTGTGAATTTGAGAGAGAGAATTTCAGCTAAATTATGGTTTGTGGGTGGGCTCTGAGAAGGGTGCTTATCATTGCAGTTTGTTGCTTGAATAATTCATATTCCGGGAAGGAATGCAATCGTCTCTTTCTCCAAAAGGACTTGAGGAGTTCCACTTTCATGATTTTTTTCACTCGAGATTTTTTTCATTTGGATCCATTTCATTCGTTTCCATTTGATTCAATAGAAAATGGAAAATCTCAATGAACGTCTCCTCGGACTGAATGTGTGTGTGTGAGTGTGTTGGCTATAATTCAATTTTCTCCACAATATAAAAAAAAGGAAAAAGTTTCATTAAAATTCAACTGCATCAGCAAGATTGTAACGTCCGCCCGAACACACAGACAAACAGGGAGGTGGACCACAAAACCGCCGGCAAATCAATTGGAAGCGAACTCCACTTTTCACTCGCCCCCTCCGAAATCAAACCATTTCATGCCAAATTGAATGCAAAAATTTAATTAAGCTTCTCTTTGGCTTTTTTCCCCATATTATTTTATTGAATATATACAAAACACAAATCTGGCCGCCCATATGAATATCATATCAAATATGTTTGGCTTACTTTTGTATGCACAATTTATTCTTTGATTTATTGGATGGCCACTAGCTACGATTTCGCATAAAGCAGCCAACAATAAATTCATTGAGTGCGGTTCTTCGGCGGATCGATTGATGGCGTCATAAAATCATTTGCAAGGTGTCAGTGTAACAAAGGAAAATGACAAAAAAGGGAAAGCATAAATCCGATTGCTACATACATTTTAAAGCCACAAAAGCCAAAAGCAAATCATGAAAGCTAACATGGCTTAAACGAATTTTCTTTGCAGATTATCTTAGTTGTTTCAGACATTGAAACAATAACGTGTTTGTATTTCATATTTTATGCAGTTCAGCAATCCTTGAAATATTTTTAACAATTCATATAAAAACCTAATGCTGACTATCCCACTAGAATCTTTTTCCCATAAAACTCTGCCGAAATTTGGTAAACGATAAGGTTGCAATGTTAATCTGCATATACATTATTACAAGCAAGTCTGAGCCTTTAAATGGAAGCGAGTGGAATGTGGAAGCCGGTTAGGCACTAACATGCAGCAGAACCCCTGCATTTAAGCACCAAATGCAGAAAGACCAGGCACTCACATAACTCGTGCCCTCAAATGCAGTAAATACAAATTTATTTTACACTCTTACATTTTTGGTTAGCAAAGGAGGCGAGAACGAAGCATTTGGACTACGGGAGGGGGGGATGTTAGTGCAACATGGTTGCAGGCTTTACGAGGCAACAACATGTACACAAAACAATTATTGCCCGTAGGTAATTTAGTGGAGAAAACATTACCAGGAAAACCGACGAGGTGGAGAAATGTTTTATGTCTGGCCGGGTTCCCCGATTCCTCCGATTCCCCCGCCTCTTTCTCTAGAGATCCCAGAGTGTGCGCTTAAAATAATTCCAGTTAAACATGGCCCACAATTTGCTTATGGCCCAGACTGGAATCGGGCCCCGCCCCCACTCACTGGAGCACTTGGCCCGCATTTCGGCAATTCCCCGGCCAAAGTTTGCTAGTTCAAGAAAAGTAGCAGAAGAGCTTTCCTCGCTTTCAGCTTTCCTTGCCTGTCATTCAAGTGGCGTTTCCATGCGGATTTCGTTTGGCCCGAAAGACTTGCGGCTGGAAAAGTGATTATGTGATTATATGTGGCCCCAGATCTCGCAGGGCGATTCCCCAAAACGATGCGAGGAGATGAAGCTAAAAGACTCTACAGAAAGGTGGTTACGGAATTTGGTTGATTAAAGTGTTGTTTTAATTCGTTTATGTAGCACCAATAACACCGATTACTTATAGTTATTTTGTAATATTTAAATTTTTTTGTGCTGTATGGAAACATTGGGAAGCAAATGCAATTCCTTTTCAGTTTTTTTTTTTCAGTTAAGTAGGTTTGTTTTTAAATTACTTCTATGAAGTTTTTTCTGTTGAAAGTCCTGTTTTGCTCTACTAATTTAAGTTATTTATATAGGTTTATGAACTGAATGATTTATATGAAGTACAAAATCTTGAAGTAAGTTTGTATGGTATCTTTAGACAAAAGCCGTGCTCTCCGTAAAAGCTCCACAGAGTCTCAGTTTCTCGCCCGTGACAATGGCCCTCATGAATTGTGGGCCCAAATACAACCCCTTCTCTGTGCTCTTTGTATCCCCATCCAATCTGATGATATAATCCTTGCTGATCAGCCGATCAGCCATGTCCTCCTCCAATTTTGGTATGAGTATATCGTACAAGGTGCCGTCTCCAGCTGCCGTCAATCTTCGATTGACAATCGTGCAACAGTTCTCGTTGCGCAGGATCTCCTCAAACTGAAGTTTAACTTGCTGCAAAGAGCTTCTTTTGGGATAACCCGATAGTCTTTCGAAGCACTTGAATTGGTAAAAGCGACGTTCCAACTCGGCCAGGTCATCTAAGAAAGGTTTTATAGGCGGAAGTTGGTCGGAATGAGAGCGGGAAAGTCGGCAGAGATCGGTGAGAAGTTGCTCGATCTGTGAGCTAAATAAATCCTCCACTTTGGCGTTGCTTAGAATGTCCTGAAAAAACATAATGTTTATAAATGATTTTCTAAGAGATTTTAATAGAACTTACTATAAGTTTTAGTATAGCTGAATGCAGCAAGGGTATTATTGTTAGCTCGTATATTTCGTGCATTTTTCTAGTTTCCATATAGTGAAGCACTTTCAAAGCTTCGTTGGTGTCATCAAAAAGTCTTTTTTGTCGGCTTATAGGAACCGCTTGAGCCTGTTCCCAAACTTTCTGCCAGGTATTACCCTCGGTGGTCATGCGAATGCTTAACTGATGTTTAACCTCACCCAATTCTGAAAGGAAAAATACTATATATTAATTGATTTATGTGAGTTTCCCAAGTCCTTACCATCAGTGACCTGTTCCCAATCCTTGGGACTGTACCAGCGTATAAAGTCCTCCATTATTCCTCTGGGATTGGCAGCTTTAAAGGCCTCCATGTCGGAGAGCAAAGAAGTGCACATCATTTGCGTGGTTAAGCCCGAACCAGGTCCCAATTTCAGCATGACTTCCGCATCATCCTGCAGCTGATCCTCGGTCTTTGGAACCGGATCCTGGGTCTCTGGTATGTAGAGATACTCATCGGGTTCCTCCAGCAATCGGTCGTCATTCAAACGTCTGAGTCGACCCTCGGGTTTTAGGCTTAGCACTGCCTTTGTGGGAGAACCAGAACCGGCAGTCGGATCATCGCAGTCAAAGAACTCCCCCTCGTCGTCGTCCTCCTCCTCCTCGACCTCCTCCTCCTCGGAACTGCCCTTTCCCACCACCCCCTCGGATTTTCGCTTGCTATTCGACTCCCGTTGCACGCGACGTTCCACACAAACGTTGAGCATCTGCAGCTTTTGGTGGAGGAGGCAGGTGCGCGTGTCGGGAAAGCCAGCGGAAATTCTGCGGGAAATTCAGAGGAATTAGAAGTGTTAGATTGTTTGGCGCAGCCCGAGGTGTTGATACATTCACTTAATTAATTGGGCTTACGTTGTTTTGCTGCTATTTATAGCTTGCTTTGATTTTAACTTATGGGGTAATTTTAGTAAAGAAAATTGTATTGTGTTAGTGTTGTCAGTTAATTAAGTTGAGATTTCTTTCCCTTAAAAGTAATAGCAAACAAAATGAGATTTATAAATATGCAGCTTACGCTTATGAATAAACCCTTAACTCTGTAACTCATCTTAATTATATTCACTTCTTTGAATCGCAGTCTCCGACTTGAGCATTATGTGTTAAAGATTTCATCTGCATCTTAATTTTTCCCCAACCTTTCCACGACTCCACCTGGGTTGGATCTTCCCCCGCCTCCTGGGCATATCGGTCACATTCTTTGGGGCCAATCTCAGCCAGAGTCTCGACCATAAACCCGACAAAGGCGGTAAGCGAGCTCTCGGCCAAGTTGGCATGCATACTCGTATGTCAGGGCGGACCATGGGAGTGTATCTATCCCTCCTCCTCCTCCTCTTCCTCCTCCGCCTCTAAACCAATTGATATTCACGCTCATCACGGCTGTCAACGCGTGCGTGGCCCTCTGGTCTTGCATAGCCAATGAGCCAATGAGGAGTGGAGGTGACTCGGTGACTCGGTGACTCAACCAAAAGAGTTCGCTGAACCCTTTGAGTGGATTAGAGTATGTGTATGTGGCTGCACCAAGGGGAAGTGAGTTGTTTGGACCACGACTGCGGATGTTGGCCAAACCGAAAGGCAGGGGAACTCCCCCTTCCCCGAAAAAAGGGAACTTCGGGAGCTGCTGCACTTGGCATTTGCATAAAAGTTGCCTTATTAGTGGCTGCGTGGACAGCTGCAGGGAAGGAGCAGCTGCTTAAAAGGTTTTTAAAGTGGCTAAACTTGCACTCAACAAGCCAGCACGAGACCTTAGCTGGCTGACAAATGGCCCTTGGCTTTTATTGACCTAATGCCGGCCACTTGGCAGTGCCCATCTCCTCGACACTTTCGTTTTAGTTGCAATAAAATAAAAACATCAAATGTGCTTCTTTTGTGTCATTAAGTCTATGTTTTCCCAGCTTCCTCCCATCTGCAACATCATCATCAGCTGCCTCCATAAACTAACCCGAGTTACGTTTATTTTTGTGTGGCCTACGGAACAATTTACTCGACAACAATGTTTAGCAGGATAAGCTGCGGTTAAATGTATATTGTTTTCTTGGTCTCGGCAACAAAATGAGATGAAAAGAGCCGAAATATTTTATGTAGATAAGCTAAGGATATTCTACTTAAAACATTAAGATGTCAGAAATCACATAAAATATATATTTTAGATGATTCTTTATTCCTCACTACATTTAAATATTTCATAATTGGTTTCACATTTCTTTTCATCACCTGAACTTAATTTTCCCCAAATCAAAAATCCCGAAAATCCCTTCAACCCTTTAAAAGGCAACCTTAATTCTCACCTGGAAATGCAAAATTAATACGCCCTAAAAAGGCTTCAAACTTCATCGGTCCAAGCTCAAACAGCAACCCCATTTTTTCGCTGCTCTCCATTTAATTCCTGTGGCTAAGCTGACCCAAAAGATTATCAACCCACGCACTCACACCTCCCAACCAACCGACCAGAGCTCTATATATAATCCCATCTATATATAAACTTTTCAGTTGACAACTTTTCCCACAAGACCAGAAAAAACAAACTCACTTTTTCAACCTCAGAAATTCTAATCCACTTAAATGCTTAACAGCATTATGTGACCTTAAGCCCAGACGCCCATAGCCGCCCCCCCAGCCACGCCCACAAGAAGTATGCCCGGCTTTTGTTAAATAAAACTTCAATTAAAACATTTTTGTGCCTAGAGCTGCGATGGGAGCAGAAGATTGCCCAACTTGGCCCGAAAGGCAGGTGGATGAAAAAAAATTTAGCAAAACAAAAACAGAAAGAAAAAAATTAACCGCTGGACCATTGTCTAAAAATGCAAATTTGCCAAGCCACCGACCACCAAAAAAAAAAAAAAGAGTGAATAATTATACGGCCACAACAAAAGAAAAAAAAACCGAGTGAGAGGGATAGAAAAATCATTTGCACCTTTCAAGTTTTTGGGCGAGAAAACAAAAAGTTGCATTTTTGTAAATACCCTCGGGAAGTGTTGAAAATTATAACCCTCTGAGTCGAACCGAATAAAAGTGATGAATTAAAAACTTTTTTGTTGTTAGATCTCAGAAGTATTTAATTTTTGAAAGCATCTGATAAACAACTGAAGGGTATTTTGAAAACCCTCTTTTCAAAGTAAATTTTCAGGCTTGCTTTTTTTGCTGCACAACTGTACTTGATTCGTTTTTCATTTATTCACTCAGTCAGTGGCTGCAGTTCTTCCTTTGTTTTCCAGCTGCAATTTTCGCACTTTTCGCGCATTAAAAAATTTAGTGATGCAATTAATACGCAGAAGAAAAACAACAAAAGGCGACTCAGTGCGAATAAAAGAAAGCGAATAAAATGGTGCAAGAATTTTTTAATTAAATTTGTGGCCAGACAGTTGAGTGAGAAATGAGAAACGAGCATAGGGCCGAAAGAGAAAGAGATAGGGAAAGAGAAAGAGCTGGAAAAGTGGGAAATGCACAGTGGAGCTTGAAATACTTTTCTGCCTCCTTCTTTCAATTTTTTTTTTGTTGGATTTAGCCACGTAATGCAATTTATAAGTTGAATTAAGGAAGAGACAAGCCAACAAAAACCCAAAATGCCATGAAAAATGAAGTCAGGCGCATCGGACAATTGAAATATCAACCGCCGCAGCCTCCTTCGCCCCGGGCAAAGTATCTTTTGGATTCAGGGAGGCGTGACACAGCTGCCGAGATGAAGAAAAAACTATCAATCAAAAGACAAAATGTTGATTATTATTTGGGATGCAGCGAAGCGTGCAGTTTAATTATTATTCTGCGGTTTATCTCCAAGTTGCAGAGTGGAGATAAAGTGGTTGGGGAACTTTAATTTGCAATTGAGTAAAATCTCAATAAACTAATGCTTCAAAATGAAATTATACGGGAAATCAGTAGGAGTAAATTTGATTGATTGAGGCACGAAAACTTTAATGATTGTGCAACTTTTATGCAAAGGGGAAAACACTTTATCTAGATTTTTAAAACAATTAAATTCATTAATTAAACAAAATTTGATTTATGATGCTTTGCCACTTTTATTTGTTGTGACAATAATAACTCTTCTGAGCAAATTCATTAATTCACATATTCTATTGTCTTTTAGCCTGATTTGCTTATGAAAAACATAATCTCAGAGTCCATTCACCTGTTCTTTTACTCCTTTAAGTTTCCGCTTGAAATCACATAATATAACAATGATCAGCGAGAATAAAAAACTGTCTCAAACAATAACAGCCGAAAAAGAGAGAAAGGGGAAAAAACTGTGTGTCATCATAACTCATGATTATGCAAAAAGGTCAACAGCTTCTTTGCTGACCCTTAAGTCATCAACCATTGTTTGCAGGGTTTCGAAAAAGTGGTAAAAAGGGGAAATCGGGGAACATCACGTGCTTGGCTTTTTTTATGAGGCGGCCAAATTAAATTAAATGGCTAACAAAAAGCTACGCCGCGTCACACTTTTTATTTGGTGCGTTTGGCGGTTGGTCCTTTCGGAAAAGAGTCCCGAAAGGGATGCAAAAGGATTTACTTTCGCTACGTCTTGCTTTTCTGCCGCCGGTATCCCAGTTTTTATGCCTATTTTATGGCCCGAAGGAGGGGAGCGGGAAAAGCGGCTGGGAAGTGAAGCACCTCGTTTGACAGGCGCAGCCAGGCAGACGGGCAAATTAATCAAAACTAAACTGGCCCAAGGATCTGGGATCTCGGGACGGGGCTCTCCTTTCACGCACTGTTTGTTGTCTAACGAGCATGAAAATGAAATTGAAAGTAGCCTGCCAAAACTGATTGATAAAGCTTGCCCACTTGCATTTCCCCCATGCAGAGAAAAAAGATAAATTATATGCAAATACTTTCGTATCATTAATAAAAATTAAACGACATGTATAACTAGTTTTTGTTTTTGTAATATTTTTTATATATTGCTTCTTGCAAATTTAATCAATCTTTAAAGATACTTAGTATTATTTCTCTCTGTGCCAATCTTATCCACTTACTACACCCCCATTTCTTGACCAACTGACCATTGGCAGATAGTAGAAAATAGGGTAGGAGGTTTTGCCTGCCAGGCGACAGTATTAATTGGGTAATTTATGGCCCGACTGGGCCAGACAACCTTCACTTTTTCACTAAGCCAACAGATTCACTCTCTCTCTAACCGAACGCTGTCTTCTGCCATTTATTTGCAGCTCTATGCCGGCACCAAGATGAGACCAGGCCGAACGACAAAAGCAACACCAGCAGCGACCACGCCCCTGCTCCCGGTGCTCCTGCTTCCGCTTATCCTGGGAACGGCCCACCTGGCCCACGCCCAGTGTCCTTGGCAGAGGGATGTGCCCGACCTGCAGACCAGCTGCATCTGCGCCTACAATCTGGGCAGGGAGCTCTCCGTGCAATGTGATCAGGTGCGAGTTCGTTTTGATTTGAAGTGAATAGATTACAGAAGCATCTTTTAAATTAATAACATTTAAATAAATAACTTTTTGATTTACTTTGTATAGTATAACAATTAAATGGAATATATTTGATTTATGTACTTTGTATAGTATAATCCAGAAACGAAACTCTTTTCTTTGGAACAAAATACGATTTAGATTAAATAAAGATTGTTTTAAGAAAGGAAAGCCTCTTCCTTTGATGCTTAAAATATTTTAAGTTATTTATATTTTCAAACTGTCTTAAGTTGCTTTACTTAACCAAACCTTTTTCCCCGTCCCCAGGTGGACTTCCCCCAGCTCCTGGAGGCGATGAACACCCACGCGCGGCTGAAACCCGTGGACTTGCTCTACGTGAACAACTCGACGATTTCCGAGCTGCCGGAGGCCATTTTCAGCAATTTAAGTCTGCACAATGTGCAACTTTCGAGCTGCGGCATTCGGAGCATAGCCACGGGTGCCTTTAAGGGGCAGGAATCGGTGCTGAGGAATCTCAACCTGCAGGATAACCTCCTGGCCGATGTGCCAGTGGAGGCGCTAAAGGTCCTGGGCAAACTGAACCTGCTGGACCTGTCGAAAAATCAGCTCAGTCACATTCCCGACGATGCCTTTGTGGGTCTAACGAAGCTATCGACCCTCAAGCTGAACGACAACAATGTTACCCTGGCTGCGAATGCCTTTCGGGGACTGGAACAGAGTCTCAAGAACCTAAATCTGAAGGGCACCAAACAGAAGAAGGTGCCAGAGAGCATTCGAGGTCTCAAGAGCCTGGCTTTTCTCGATCTTTCGCAGAATGGCATCAAAGAACTGCCGGGATCGGGTGGAATTCGGGTCTTTGATGGCCTGGATGCCCTGACTGCCCTGAATCTGGAGAGGAATCTCATCCAGAGCATCGGGGAAACGGCTTTCGCCGGTGTGCGAAAAACCCTGAGTTCACTGAGTTTGCTCAACAACCTGCTGGCCGAATTCCCCATCGGCGCCGTTCACTCGCTGAAGGAACTGCGTGTCCTCGACATTGGCTTCAATCTGCTGACCACTCTGCCCGAGGCAGCCTTCCGGGGAAATCCGGGCATTACGCTGCTGGCCCTCGATGGAAATCCTCTGAGCAGCGTGCCCGAAGGCGCCTTCGCCCACCTGAACGCCACTCTGCGAGGCCTTTCCCTCGGAGGCAGGTTCCTCCATTGCGATTGCAAGCTGCGCTGGGTGGCCGAGTGGATTCGCAATGGTGACTTGCAGGTCAGTGGAATTAGTTATGCACTACTGAAATTCGGGGGAAAAGTGATTTTGGGGAAAGCAAATTCTGTGAAGAGTATATTTTGGATTTGAGAAAAAACTCTTTTGAAAAAACTTGAAGGAAAAAAGCATTTATTGCATTAAAGCACTTTAAAATTTACCTTTTTTTAAAGTTCCTTAAATACAGTGCAACAAAATAATGAACAAATCCAAATTAAATATTTTAAATATTCAGGCAGAATAATCATTACAAAACACTTTACCAACCCCTAACACCTATGTATGTTCTTTAAATACTTTTACCAAATTTACTAAATTAAATATTCACGCATAATAATAATTCCAAAACATTTGATCAACCCTTAATAAAATTCCCCTGCTCCAAAATCAAAATGACAAATTGAAGTTACTGTTTATTTCAGTACTTTTACAACCACAGAACATTCAATGTGTCCCCCTGATAAAAATTGTTGTCAAATGGCCCACTTCCGATTGGACTTTTTGCAAACTTGCTAACGTTCGTTTCATTAACTTGGCAACTGTGTTTGGCTTTCATCCCCGCATTTCCCCGCAGGTTACATCACGCGAACGGAATCCCCAGTTCTGTGGCACCCCACCGCGCTTCCGGGACCGGGGCTTCTACTCCATTCAGCCGGAGGAGCTGAGTTGTCCGGACATCGCCGACACCGCCCTCCGCGGACCCGTCGGCCTGGCCGACAACCTGAAGCCAACACTCGCCTCCTCGCCAGATTCCGTAGAATACGAAACTGGCGAGGGAACGGGGACGGGTACAGTGGGCACTGGCACCGCCGCCTCCGCTCCGGTGACCAGCAGTGTGAGCAGCTCCACCTCGACAACGACGGCCACCACAACCACAACGACCACCACACCGGAGCCAACGACCAAGAGGAGCACTGTGAGTGGGCAGGTGATAAAACTGGGGGGCATCGTTAACTTAACAATTGGGGGAGTTGGGGGAGGAGTTGAATGTAAAACCGGTGCGGGAATATTATCATGCTGGCATTAAGTGCCTGTACACCGGCGGTTCCTCAGCGACACTTTGTCAAATAAATCAAGAATCATTGAGCAGGCCATATAACTTATTCGTTGCCGGAGTAATAAATCAGACGCACGTAAAAGCTGCTCCGAAATCATAAAGTCGGGTCTAAATAATGTGGTGAAGTTGAAGGCTTAAAGAACGAATAATGTTAAGTAATTTCAATATAACACAAGCAGAGTTCCTTAGGCTTAAGCTCTATGATTTATTAAAGTCCGATAACAGTTCATTACCCATTCGCTTTAAATTAATTATTACTCCAATTTAAATCGTTATCTAGATAAATAAATAAATAAAGTAGAAACGACTTTTAAATTAATTGAATAATTTTAGAGAACCTTCTGCTTAATTTACTCCTTTACATTTGAAATTCCCTATGACAGACTCGACCTCCCACCAAGACGACGACCACTTCATCGGCCGCCACAAGCTCCCCAGCCACGAATCTCTCTGTAAATGGAACCGGAACCGTCCAGGCCACCTCCATCACCACGAGCAGCAGCTCCTCCTCCTCCTCGTCGTCGTCCTCCTCCCATGGCAACAGCAAACAGGCACCTGGATGGCGCCAGGGAGTGACCAATGGCAACGGCAACGGCGGAGGAACCGGAGGTCTCCACAAGCCGCAGAGGCCACCACTTGTCCTCGGTTATCCGCCACAAAGGGGCACTCGCATCGACGATGCCAACGAGGTGCAGGTGAAGCACGCCTTCCGGCAGGACAGCTCCGTGATCATCCAGTGGGATTCGGACACGGCGAATATCCTGGGATTCCGCGTGGTCTACCGACTGTTCGGTGAGAAGGCCTTCAAGCAGGGACCCCCACTGGAGTCCAGCGAACGCGAGTTCAAGATCAAGAACGTGCCCGCCCAGGAGTGCATCATCGTGTGCGTCATCTCGCTGGAGGAGCTGCATGTGACCCCCGAAACAGTTCCCTACCAGCAGTGCCGGGAAGTCCGAACAGTCGCCTCGCAGGCCTCCAACATGGACAAGATAACAATTGCGGCCAGTGCCGCGATTTGTGGCACCATCATCGTGGCCGTGATTGTCTTCATCGCTGCCAGCAGGTGGGTCTCCCTCCTCTGTTTTTTTTTCTTTTTCCCCTTTTCCAACCGAAGAGTTATTACCCAACAACTGAGCCACAGACAAAGCCAATTGCTGTGCAAAGTGGCTGGCTGATTTATCGCAGGTCCTTAAGTCGTTGCCACATTTCTATACAGTCTATTTTAGCCCTATCGCACTGCGTAGAACTTGCCACAAGCAGTTGCTTCCTCACACTTTATCATCTTTAGGTGCAAACCCATTTTACCCTTTGTTTAAGATATTGTAATTTTATGGGAGTTTTATTGTGAATTACCCTGGGGTTATTCAACGAAATAAAGAAGAGGGGTTGAGTTACTAGTTCAAAATATTTTATACATAAGTATTTTCAAAAAAATTGTAATCAATTTCTTTATAAAATAGGAACACTATTATTATATTGATTACATACAGAAGTACTCTAGTTTTCTAATAGTTTTAAAAAGTGCTTCTGCTCTAATTGTTGGTAGATAAATGATGCAATTACTTGGCTTGCAAGGGTATTTACATCCCCATTTCTTTTTCTAAGCCATAATTTCTTTTCATTTTGTTTTGCAGACGCTCCCGCAAACTGCAAAACAGCCAGCAGAAGAGTCCGCTGCCAATTGGAGGTCTGCCCGTTAATTGCTGCGGTCCAACCGGTTCACCGGGACCACTTGGCTCCATTGCAACGCTATCGGCATTTAACAATCACAAGGTGAGTTGCCCCCTCGAAACACTCCCCCTCCCCTCTTGCCCTCGGTTTAAATCTGACTAAGAGGTTGCCAAGAAATTGTTGCCACTTCTGGCTCCCGGCTGGCTGGCTGGCTAACTAAATATCTGGCTGACTGTCGGCTGTCCGGATTGTCAGATAGTTGGCCAAGTGGGGGATTGGGTGGCTGCGGATGGTTAGGCCATGACTACGGGAAATTGGCAGCGACGCGATTTGATGGCTCTTGATTGTGTTTATGGGGGACAACAAATTAAATGGAGCGCAGCTCGGATAAATACTGCGAGTGCAGAAAGTATTTCAGATTTGCAATCTGTGGGGTAAACTTTTTGGCAAGGCCGCTTGGCTTTTACAAGTAAATAATTACAGATAATGTGGATTCCATACGAAAATAACTTAAAGAAGAAGTGAATCGCATGAATAAATTTGTAAAATAATTATTTAAATTTTTAAATTCATTCGTTTCCTAGGAATGGGACCAAGTCTCTGCCTACAGTGGCCGCTCGATACCGCGGCCCAGGATTTATCCCGTGGAACAGCCGGACGATATGCGCAGTCACTTTTCCGGAATGCCAGGAAAAGTGGGCAAGTCAAGGTGAGCACAGCACTTTCCCCCAGCAATTAATGGCGAACCAAATATTTGCTTGCCCTGCATTTCGAGCTTGCCTGCTGCCTTATTTGTTTTCGTTATTATTTATTTCGTTCGTTTCGATTGTTTCATTATTTTATTATGCATTACACAAACGCACCCTCACACACACACACACACACACCACCACGCATTGCGTACAGTAGATCCCTGGCGGACGGACAGTCGCAGCACAGTTTCTCGAATAATTCGCATCGCGGCTACTTGGGCAGTGCCTTCCCCTCGAATCTGGTGAATTCCCGCCCCGAATTGCGGCAATCCCGGCAATCCTTGGCCGCCGCCTCGGAGCGAATGTCCCGGGCTTCCTATGCCGGATCGATACACGGCGGTGGAAACGGAGGAGGAGGCGGAGGAGGGGGTGGGGGGGGCCGGCGGTCTGCCCGTGAGCAGCCTGATGGCCATGAGCGGAATGGTCGGCGGCGGCGGACCGGCGAGCATCGCCTCCAGTGCCCGGCGATCGAGGCCGCGTTCCAGATCCCGCGAGCAACTCAATGCCACCCACATTCACAACCATCGACCGGGAAGTCGGTAAGTAGAACACCTCACAAAAAAAAAAAAAAAAAAAAAAGTAGAAAAAAAAAAAAAAAATCAAAACAGACAAGCCAATTAAAACGAATTCGCACCCACGAAAAGCCACAAAAGCGATCTTATCACGGATCGCAAATCACACATCCCAAATTACACTTTCAATTCTTTCTTTTATGTTTCCCGTTTTCGAGTTTTGCGTTGAAAGTTTCCTATTTCAATGGTTTATCGCTTTCGTTGGTCATTAAATTAATTAGTTTTTTTTTTTTTTAATGCTTGGGGAGGGGCTTTGATTTATTAGAGACCGTCTCAAAGTTTTCAATGTCAAATTTAAGATTTCTTTAGTCGAAAGGTTCTGAGAAATCGTGGGAAAAAAAAACAAATATTGATTAATGATAGGGTTGTCTTGCCACTTTTTATATATTCGCCTTGAACTTTGATATTATAAATGCTAGATGATTACTTTTTTCTCCTAAAAAATAATTACCAATTGAACCAATATATCGCACCAATAAATAACCCATTCATCGCCTAGTTTTCCCAACTCGCAAAGCGAAAAAAAAAACTCTTTCGACCAATTTCCTCGCTTTATTTTTCAGCCTGATTGGCAACTATCCATCGCCGCAATCAAATCAAACTTTCATTCATGTACAAAATTCTGTAGCTACATTGTGTACATGCATTCCTTTCACCACTAACCCAAAGAGCCGCCGTTCGCCGCCCCTTTGTATAAATTTCCACTGATTCCATTAGTTTTAATTGCGTTTCGCTTGGATTCGAGCATTTTTACAAACCGGCGGCACAAACGTTGCATGGGGCAATGCGTCGTCAGTGTTGCACCGGCGGTGGTGAATCTCTGATATAATCGATGGATATAGTACAACTCTAATTCGAATTGCAGATACTCGCAGGCGGGATCGACGCACACGCTGAACAACTATTGCGATACATCGGACAACTGGACGGATCACGATATGGACATCTATATGGCCCGCAATCCGACCACGCGAAACGGTTTAGTGCCATTATGAGGGCGACTCACGTTGTCCTGATATTTCAATGTTGTATTAAACTGGGACGGCATCTTCTGACAATATCTGACGCCGGCCATTGGGGGGCAGGAAGGCAGGGGGCATGGTCGGCGTCAGCAGCAGCAACAGCAACAACATCAGCAGCAACAGCTACAACAGCAACATCAGCAGCTACAGCAGCAACAGCAACAGCAACATCAGCAGCTGAGGAATGAGCGACATCAACAACGACTTAGAAACAATCAGCAATTGGAGCAGCCATATCAGCCAGCACAGCAGCAACATCAACGATTACACTACTATTTGCCGCAGACAGAGCGTTGCACCTCGCCCCCCGATGTGGTGCCCCGAGCAGCCAATTTCCATAATAGCAATACCACCACAACTGACAACAGCAACACCACTAACAACAACAGCAGCAACAACAATAGCAGTAGCAACCAGCAGCAACAATCGGCGTTGACAGCAACGCTGGAAGATGCAACAGCAACATCCAGCGAGGCAGCGACGGCCGCAAGTGGCATTGTTGTCGAGAACTATTTTAACGAATATGAACGTCAGGAAATCATTTATCATCATCCCACAAGCAACAGTAGCTGCAACAGTAGCATCAGCAACAGCAACAGCAGCAGCAGCAACAGCAGCAGCACGGCAGCAACACGCCAACTGCCCCGCAGCAATGCCTTCCGTTTACAGTTACCCGCAATGGCAACGGCAACGACTAACAATATTTTATATAATATCAGTAATAACCATGATGCAACCGGCAACATGGGCAATTATAAGGCGCATACGTTTAGTGATAGCTGTAATTGTACATGTAATTGTAGTCTAAGCGAGGAGGATGAGCGGCATCTCGAGGTGGCAACAGCAACAGCAATGGCAACAGCAACTCGAGAAGATGAGGCAGTCGGCTCATCCTTGGCCAGCACCTCGGTGTCTAGTATAGAACAAGTGCAACATCAGGAGAAGGAGGAGCACCATCAGCAGGAAGTGTCCTTGTCTCTGAACTTGACATTGGCTGACACTGCTGGCAAGGAAACTAAAGCAGATTCTGCTGCAGAGCGAAATGCATCAGCATCTGAATCTGAATCAGAAACAGTAGACACATCTGCAGACAGGGCCGAGCCTTGAGTGGCGCTCCTTGATGTTGCTGTTGTCACTGGGGCCTCTCGAAATCTGCATAATATGCATAACAATTGCACGGGCAGAGCGATGTTAAAGTGAAATAGTGAAGAGAAGGAATAGATATTTTTATATGCTGTTTAGAGTGCAATAAATAAAACACAACTTCCCTAGTTCTCTCTGCAATTAGTTGAACAGAATTAATGTTGAGCAATCAAAGAACTACAACTTAAGTCAATATGGTACTAATTATACTTAATAGCTATTAAATCGAATTAACTAATGTTTAGCGTTTAAGGAGGCGGGGTCGTTTTAATGCTGGGATAGACAGGCATAGAAGTCGCTGAGAGAGCACAAAAAGCAATATGTACATAATCTAGAATGAGCAAAAACCAGTCCTATAAGATGTAATTTACCCAATCGTACTTCAAGTTTAAAGAGTTTCACGTTAGTTAAGAACTAAACACCTAGTAGGTCAAATGAATTTTCCGCATGATTTCAAACATTCCCAAAAACATTCTCTAGTCTGGACCTTTTTTCATTATCCCCGATTCATTTATATTTCGCTCTGTGTTTGTCTATCCCGGCCTTAAGCTGATTACCCCATCCAGTAGTTTTTGAAGCAACCAAACCATTTTACTGCCCAAAAACACGTTTTATTTAACTCATATTGAAGTCAGTCCAGTTCGAAATCGATTTTAAGTCTCGACTTGTTTCATTCGTTTTGTACAGAAGCTTCAATTCAAACGTTTGCGTGCTAAGTTCTTTCTTATGTTTATGATTTCTACTTTTTAGTGACATTTTAATAAAAAGAATACATTAAAAATGCATTGTTTTATTATGATTTAATTGGTTTGTACTACGTATTTAGTTTGCTTGTTGGTCGAGCACCTTGTACATCGCTGTATATAGAATTCGTAGGCTTAAGCGTTTGAACGATTTCAGTTTTAGCATTTTCATTATCATTATCAAGATCGTTGGAGGGACGAGTCCGGATAAACAGTTCGGACGAGTCCGGGCGAAACACAGTTGACAGTTAACAATATTTAGTGCCCGTGGGCCGGATTTCCTTGGAGATCCACAACAAGCCCATGTCTGGCACTAGATACTTAGTGAAGTAAGCTAATATCTATGTATCTACACGTATGCTATACTCTATCCCTAAGAACCCAGTTATAGACAAGGCTTTGAGCATTAGAACAATAAGCACAATTTAGGTGGAAAACGGGAGCAATTATTTAGAAAGAAAAGTAAACAAATATTCCAATAAATGTAGGAAATAAATGAACAAACAAATTACGTTTCCGTTAATTGTTTCACTTGTAAAGCAAGCAAAGGAAAATTAGAGGAGCAAATATCCGCAGTTAGCATAAGAAACTTTAAATCAAATTTAGTGTTAAATAATTACAACTTAATTAAACTGCCTTAGCACATGGAGAACGATGAAGAAAATAAACGAGAGCACGTGCTTAAATTTAGTTTAGCAGCACTTGAAAAATACTAACAAGGAGGTGAGCAATATTTTATTATAATCGGTGACACACAAAACTGCCAGCCAACAAAATAAAGCATATACACATTCCAACTGAAGGAAAACAAAGTATAGAATGTCCTTCAGAAGAGCTCATCTCCAGCAAAATACACTGCAAACGAAGACACCAACCGATTTTGAGGAAGATAACACCACCAACTCAAACAGCTAGACTTATTGTACACACGATCCCATAATAAATGTGCGTTATATTGTTAAATGTAAATCAAATTCAAATGTTAACTTTGCGGCTTCACAGATTAGCAAACTAAATTTACTAGAAAATTTACGGAAAGTTTCGTTTTAGGTTTTTAGTTCGTACGCATCAAGTTCCAAATAAAGCATATTTTTGTTACGAACTGTTTGTTGGGTTGATATTGTGTTTTACTCACCCGGGAACTGTTAAGGAATTATCCCACAGCAATCGCAGTTGGCGGGTGAAGGCCGCCCACACTTGAGCCATGCCCTCTACACTGCCCAAGTGGGCGTGGCAGGTGGCCAGAAGGCAGCTGAGACGGCAAACTAGAGAGTCGGGAACAGCACTCTTGATGCGCATGGGATCGAACTGAAAAGGTGTAAAATAAGAGTTTATTTTAAAAAATAAACTAAGGTTAATTAAAAAAATATAAAATAATGATTATTAAAATGATTTAACTTCTTAATGGATTCAATAAATCAGTTACATTACAAATAAAGTGAACACTAAACTGCATTACGGATTGATTTTGGATGAAGGCTAGCTTATATTTAGAACTTGGGAGATCTCTTACCTTATCCTTAAAGCTCTTTTTGGAGTAGGGAAAGAGCGCCATATCGGGATGCATATCAGGAAATAAATACGCCAAAAGTTCGCTTAATTCGCTTTCGGTCATCGGACCAGGTAACTTTTTGGTTAAACCTGCCTGTGAGGGCAGCTCGTAATTCCGATCTCTTCTGGGAGTAAGTTTATGTTCAGTGATGCGATCCAAGGGATTAGAACCCGCCTCAGCTCCGCTACTAATGCCCGAGAAGTTCCTGCCCACAAAGGACTCCAAAGATCTAGTTACTCCGGCAACTGATTGGTAATCCCTCAGGCAGATGGAGAGATACGAAGAGGCCTCAACTGAGAGATAAACCTTGCCTAGCGGAGCTTTCGAGGGCACAAAATCCGTTCTCTGTTCGCTGTCGAAGGCCACGTGTTCCGACAACTCCGGCCAGGTGTAAACCAAATAGATTTCCGTGCAAGATTCGGGTGTGTAGCCATGTGGCAGGGAATAAAACTGTTGAACTTCAAGATGGGAGACCTCGCCCTCAACCGCAATATCCTCAGAGCTGAGACCATGATCAAAGGGCACATACATGGGCATGCGGATGCGCATGGTGTCCAAAGCATAAGTGGTGCAAACAGAGATCATGGCCGCCTGGGAATACGAAGTGGGCAGCTTCTCCCTGAAGAGCGTGAGCAGACCCATCAGGAATCGACTCTCGGGCGGGGCTTTCTCCAGTCCTATGAGCCTGAAGTTGGTCCTCAAAGCAGGAGCTAAAGCCACGCCCGTGTAGAAGTTCCATTTGGGATCGTAGATCTGCACAAAGATGGGAACCACGCTCTGAACTTCTGCGGATACAACGGCCACGGCGCTCAGAAAGAAATTGAACTCCGATGTGGACTTCATGTAGTTGAGATTGGAGTTCACGGGCCGCAACACAATGAAGCGTCTTAGTCCGTAGATCCTGGCCAGAATGTGCAGATCCTGGGAACTCCTTATCGGTGGACCAAAACTGTTTATACTTGATATGAGGTCGTGGTGGCAATTGGTGCGTTGCAGGCAGGAATTCTCCTTGAGATCCTCTTTCGAGGGCTGCTCATCTCCCAGGATAGCCTGATGATACTCCACTTCAATGCCATTCCTCAGCATGTCCAGTGTTTCCTTCTCGACTTTCCACTGGCAGGTGAAGATTTCCCCCGATTTGAGGCTCCTGCCCACGTCAGATTCCGCGGATACGTCCCATTTCTGCAGGATCTCGCCCAACTGGGCGTTGAACACCTCCCAATCGGAGTCGGCACTAAAGTTTTCGCGGTAAAATTCACTGTCGTCGATTTCCTCGGCCATTTTTTGAGGATTTTTACTAGACTCGAAGTAAATAAAAACAATTAAAGTCGTAGACAACAAAGATTAAAGTTGCCGGACCAGTGGAATCGAATTCATCAGCTGTTAGTTGCTGCCAACCTAAAGGCCAGTGTTGCACAACTAGCATATCTTTTTAGGTCCGAATGTTTTTGGCAGCACCCTGCAAACAGCTGAGTTTTGTTTACAAGCTTATTTTGAAATTTCTGTTTTCGAAATGTTTGGAAATTTGAAGCGGTTCGATGCAAACAGGTTCTCCAGTTTGGAGGAAGAGATTCTGGAAAATCTAGTTCTAAAGTATAAGCAAGCTATAAGGTCGCAAAATTTGGACGCTTGGAAGCAAATCGCCGCGGACTTTAAATTACAATCAGGAATAGATCGTCCTTGGCAAAGTTTGCTAGAGAAACATGTAAATACTCCTCGATTAAAAAAGCGAAAGGTTAATAATGAAATGGTAGACGATAGAGTGTTGAACGTTGAAGCAGCATCCGGGGTAAAATTGTCCATCACATCAGTTTCATCGCTCCGAGAAGTTGTTAAAGATGAGGAAAGTAAGTGAGACATTCCACAAAATAAATTTAAAACTCACAAGGACAACTAAAGCATTAATATTTATTCAAAACCAGGCAGCATTCACCCTGATCCAGAAAACTCCAGCCAACCTATATTTGAGCAGAACGACGACATTACGAACATAAAAATCGAGCCAGCCGACGTTCCAGCAGAAAAAGAGACCTTATCAGTCGAACCAGTCTACGATCTAACAGAAGAAGAATCCCTAAAAATCAAACAAGAAAACGATCCAATAGATATTGAAAAATATATAAATAGAAAAACGATTTTGAAAATGTACCTAGAACCAGAAAGCGTTCAATCTGATCCAGAAAATGAACACAGGAGCACCCCCAGTCAAGACTCCAGCCAACCTAAATTTGAGCAGACTGACTGCAATATAAAAGTAGAACCAGCCATCGATCTTACAGAAGAAGAAACTTTGACAGCCGAACCAGCTAACGCTACAAATGAAGAAAACTTCTCAGTCGAACTAACCAGCGCTGCAAAAGAACAAGAAACTTTGACAGTCGAACCAGCCAACGATCCAAAAGATCAAGAACCCTTGACAGTCGAACCAGCCAACGATCCCATAGAAGGAGAACCCTTGAGAGTCGAACCAGCCATTCATCCAATAGAAGGAGCCTTGGCCTTCGAACAAGCCAGAGATCCAACAGAAAAAAGAATCTTGACAGCTGAACCAGCCAACGATCCAAAAGAAGGAGCAGCTGTGAGAGTTGAACCAGTCATCCATCCCATAGAAGGAGAAACCTTGGCCTTCGAACCAGCCAGCGATCCAACAGAAAAAAGAACCTTGACAGTGGAACCACCCAACGATCCAATAGAAGAGAAAACCTTGACAGACGAATATCTTATTCTGCTCAAACTCCAACAGGATTACTACCGAGGTAAAAACGCCAGAGCAGCCGAAAAACACAAAGTAGAGATAGAAAGTCTGAAAATGATACTGGATCAGCGAAAGTTTGAGTATGAAAAGACCAAAATGGAATTGGAGAAGTATAAACTAGAACTGGAAAACTCCCGCCTTAAAAGTCTACTGTCTGAAATGGAGGTCCTGGAGTCTAAAGATGATTCTTAACACATTTTTTAGTTACATAGTAAATAAATTTGACAACTGCCACTGTATGTTCCATCAAACATTCTACAGGTTACGATTAATTTGGGTTACTTCACATTTCCGTTGTCCTTTTCTTAGTTTTATCTCTCCGCAATTCGAATGAATGTTTCGTTTATGCTCAGCCGTTTTGTTTGGTTGTTTTTATTAATTTACATCGATCCATTCACTATGTAGTTGGGGCTTAAACGATAACAGCGCTGCGGGTGCATTGATCCTCTAGCCGACAATGAGGAGGCCCTCGTTGGGGAACTCGTGGGTGGGCACTTCCAGATTAAGTGGCGCCGGACCCTTGCGGATGCGTCCAGAGGCGTCGTAGTGGGAACCGTGGCAGGGGCAGTAGTAGCCGCCCCAGTCACCGGCGTTCGCGATGGGCACACAACCCAGATGCGTGCACACACCGATGACCACCAGCCATTCGGGCTTGACCACACGTTGCTGCAGGATTCGAACGGAAATATTAGTAAATTATATTGATTTTCCTAATGAAGATATCTACTTACATCATCAGCTTCGGGATCGCGCAGAGTGGATGTGGCCACGCTTCGCTCGGTCTCGATTTCCGCGGCGGTACGGTGGCGGATGAACAGCGGCTTTCCGCGCCACTTGAACGTCACCGACTTGCCCTCGGGGATGTCGGCCAGCTTGATCTCGATCTTGGCCATGGCCAAGACTTCGGCGGAGGCGCTCATCGATCCGATGAAGGTGTTGACCAGACCCTTGGCCGCGTAGGCACCGCCAACAGCTCCTGCTCCGACCAGCAGGTACGAGAAGGCCTTGCGCTCCTCGGCGGTCTCATTGCGGCGACGACTGTCCTTCACGGAGTCCCGGCGGTAAGCCGAGAAGTCCGGCACCTGCAGGTCGGTGTGTGCCTGGCGGTTAGCTGCAAAACAAGAGGGGTTTATAAGTCGTCTTTTGGAAAATAAATTGAGATCAATACATGATTCTAAAGAATTGAAGATTCTTTCCCCAAATTTTAATATATTCCAGTTTTTATGTTATTCTTTACTCTTATAAACAAAACTGTATCGACGAACTATAATAACATTCATGTATCCTACCCATGGCTTTAGATTTCTTTGGATACAACTTTGTTGTCCCTCAAGATATTGGCAGGAAACTTAACAAATCAAAGTTACTAGTCCCTAAGAGGCACTATCCCAAGTATGAATGAAATCGGCCGTCAATATCCCATTGAGACAATGAAATGTTGGGTATGCTTGGTGCGCCTGCAGATTGTTGTTATTGTACGAGGTTATGTTGAAATTACGTAAGGAAATTTGCGATATCTCCTTGAACCTGACTGCAAATCGAGTCCTTGATGCATTTCCTGGCTTTTAACCGCATTTTGTGCGGTTTTTCCTGGTCGAATCGTTATGTAACGCGTGTTTTTCCCGCAGAATCCACCTCGCAGATTCTTACCCATCGAGTTGACGGCCACTCCGCTCGCCTTCAGTCCTGTGGAAAGGACCTGGGCTCCGCCCCGGACGTAAGCACGCGACACGGCGTTCATCATTTTGTATGTTTGTTTAAATTTAAATGATCACGTATATTTCGGTCGAAAACTTCGACTTTCGTCGCCTCCGTCTCTGCCAGCTGAGTAGGGATGTGAAAAATAAAAATATTTTTAAGAATATATCGATATTTGGTAATTGTTTACAAGTGCGGTGCACGGTAAATACGGCTTAAAAAAATAAAGTAAAATATGGAAACGATGTGTTTTTTTCTAAAACTTCGAAATCCGTTGGCGGAGAGTGAAAATTTTGCACCGTTTTTTTGTTATTAACAATTAAAGATTCGATTTGTAGTACAAATTCGGATCTGAGTGACCGTATTTGCAATAATCGGCCACCAGACGACTGCAATAATCGGCACATCACATGTAAATACGGTCACATAGATCCGAATTTGTACTACAAATCGAATCTTTAATTGTTAATAACAAAAAAACGGTGCAAAATTTTCACTCTCCGCCAACGGATTTCGAAGTTTTAGAAAAAAACACATCGTTTCCATATTTTACTTTATTTTTTTAAGCCGTATTTACCGTGCACCGCACTTGTAAACAATTACCACATTTTCACAAATAATAATTTTGTATTTAAAGAAAACATTTTTTAAATTTGCTGCCAAAAGGGTTTATCACGGAAAATCAAACGTTATTTGTTCATTCGCTTCGTAACATTGGTAGAAATCTCGACTAGGTGGATGCCGGTATTGCTTACTGACACATACTAGTTGTTATGAACGGCTGGTGGTATAAAGGGTTTACTTTGAAAAACTTATATTTTAAACTATTTTTAACATTTTCTGGCGAAAGGTTTTTAATTATTAAATTTCATCAGTAGGTATTTTCTTAAATGCACTTATACAAAACCTACATAAAACAACCAAAAATCATTTTATTTCAACTGGGAAGGTCTTTTCTTGAATGTTTCTTGGATCTTAGGAATACTACATACTAGCTTTAAATAATTTGAAATAAATTTATTTGTTTCACCTTCCCATTCAACTTTTTCAACCCTTTCGTTCCCCAAAGGTGATTTCTCAGCTTCCACCCTTGTTAAAGTAAAAACTACTTTGTATTAAATTAGCAAATGCAACGGATGGGATTTTCCCGGATGAAAGGGGTTTCCATGGCAAACCGGTTGGTCAACGCACCACCAACTTCAACTTCAATTCGGAGATGAAGTCCAACCACCAGCTTTCAGAGACCAGGTTTTACACTGCACTTTTCCATTTCCCCAACAGCATCGTGATGTCATCCGTTTGATGTTTCGAATCTGGCTCAGGGTGGATTCTCTCAGCCTAATTAATAAGCGAGAACCTCTTGAACAATTGTTATTCCTCAGCTGATCTCATCCAACGCATAAAACGGCAATAAAAAATTGCATAAAAAATAGCTGGAAGCAGCGAAACGGGCAGGGGAATTCGTTATGCGCATAAAAGTAGGCAGCCAAACTTTAAAACCAGAAAGCAGTAAAAAGCGTGGAAAACTCTCCCGCAGCCGGCTGAAATGTAATTCCTCTGGCGCCAGTCCTGTGATTATCGAAAGTAGTTCTTTTTGATGTCGAAAGTTTGCTGCCACCCACTCCTCTTTCCTCCCTTTTCCACCCGGTAGGTGGCAAGGGAAAGTAAGAGTGAAGGCGAAAGTATCCAGCGCCCTTCCCTCCTGTGGACTCACGTCTATTTTCCAGCCGAAGGAGGAAAATCTGCGCACATAACGGCGCCTCTATGTACTTGCCCCAAAACACACACACACACACACAGGCATAAAAAAGGGGGCCTGCAAGGAGGGCACTACGGAAAAGTGCGTGAATTTTTGCCAAAAACAAAAACAAACTTCAAAGTTGTTGGAAATATCACGGCAGGTAAATACACTTTCTTTGAAAAAAACTTTTTTTATAAACCTTAACAGTGATAAACCAAATGGATAAAATATTAAAATGATATTTAATTTTTTCTTTGGTATCAAGATTTTATTATAATTTAAAACTTTGTTAAGCTAAGGGATATAGCCACCAAAACACTGACCAATCATTATTTTTGCATTCTTTTATCCACATTTTTGTCATCACCTTGCCAACCTTTGTCGACAAGTCAAGATCTCCTTTTTCGGCAGTGCATAGGACAGGAAAGTTGAAACTATGCCGCGTAGGCGACGTGGCAACGGCATCTGCCCATTCCTTGGATTTTCCACCCACTCCCGAATTTCCCGGCCACCGCACCCCAGCCCAAAACTTCAACCGCATCCCCACTCCAGTTTAACTCTGTCAAGCTTCGACTGCGTTACACTTTTCAGCAACTTTTACATGGGAAACTGGCGCCAACTACAAAAGTGAGCGCAGCAACAACAAGCTGAGTTTCAACCCTGCCCCAGGGCAGCTCCTTCCCCCTACCCCTTCTCCAGTCCCCCTTCTCCGTTCCCCCTCTCCTGCCAGCAACAACAACCTCCGCCCCCTTTTCACCCAATTCTGTGCGGCGTGTGCAGCATTGCGGCTGCGGCAGCAACAACAACAAAAGCAGTGGTGAGATGAACTGAAAAAAAATGCTGAAGGAATTTTTTAGATAAAATGTACTAAAGGTATTTGGCACTAGAATTTAAAACTATGTTTGAGCAAAATAATAAAAAAATAAGAAAACTGTTTAATACAATTTACAATGTACCAACAAATTAAAAAGCAATTTATTTTTTGCAATTTTAAAATTGGAGTCCAATAGTTCAATTAATTCTATTTATAAATAACTCCGTAAAAAATATGTATTTTCTAGCTGTGCAGCAGCGACGACATAGCCTGCTTATCGCAACATCAGCCAAGCATAAAGCTCGGCCCACCCGATGTCCCGTTACCTCGTCGAGCACCACCCCCTTTTGCGGAAAAGTTGAAAGTGGAAAATTGTGCGTGGCAGGCAAAAGTTTTCTGAGGCCCCTGACTGACAGTCTTTCGCAGATGCGGAGGCGCAGCCACGCCTACAACCCCTTGCGCCCCCCTCCCCCTACCTACCTCCTCCTACTCCAACCCCTCTTTCCCCGCCACTGACTTTCACCCATTTACAAAAACGAAAATTAAATGAATCAGACTCCGGATCCGAATCATCTGTGCAGCATCAGCGGGGAAGTCGGGAAAGCCGCAAGGAAGTCGGAAAATTATGGAGAGTTGGGGCATGTGCAGCGGTGCTTGGTGCTTGCTGCTTGGATCCAAGAATTCGGCACAGCTGGCGGTCATTTATGTGCTTTCTTCTCCACTTCTTTATCTTCATCTCCGCCGGTTGGGTTTTGCATTTGAAATGATTATGACCCAGCCTCGCCCGCCGTTTTCTTAGCCAAAGGCGCTCAGTTCGAGCCATTTTTGGGCAGTCGGATTAGGTGACCATGACAATGGGTCCTGTTTGTTTTCATATTTTAGTGTTAGTTGGGGCCAAGGAGCTTGGCTTTAAGGCGTGTGAATAATGATCTTCCATTGGGCATTTTAAAAGGTCCTTCATATTTCTTGTTAGTA